GTTTTTTCTTCAACTAAGCTGTATTCTTCTCTCACGTTCTCCTTTCACTACCTACCTACCACTACTCCCAAGGCTATACAGGGGACCCCTGCCAGCATAACTACATCTCACAAGGAAGGGGATATTGCATGTTGCCCCTTGCCCTAGTGGTTTAGTGTGCATAGTTGGGGGCCGCTGGTGGGGGGCCGTCTAACGCAAAGCGCAAAGAGGATATGGCTAGTGGGTGCCAGTAACTGCACCTCCCTTTCCTTCCTCTGCATTCACGACATTTCGGATTCTCACTACTTCTGACATTTCGAGATACTATTTTTGGAAATATTGAGTTGACGTCTTCTTCCCTCTCCTCCTCCCTTCGTCTCCCCTCCCCTCCATTCTTTGTGGATGAGATCAGCCCCTGGCCCTTCTTCTATGCCCACGGCCGGGGCTTTCACACCACCGATGCATGTTTGTGAGGGATTCGTTGCAGTCTGAGTAAGGTTTGAGTCAATCCCTGTGTATCAAGTCTTCCGCTGTAATTGTACTTTGTATTATCTGGTCGGCTCTGGGGATCTGCGCCATACTTATGACTGTGTTCACGAGTATGCAACAGATACGGCCTCGCTCTACTACTCTCCAAATGTGCGAAATGAGAACGAATCTATCGCTAGAACATGGAACTATGCACTACCACAGTTTTTGTCTTTTGTGTGCATGTGGAGAGTAGTGGAGCGAAGCCCACAGAGACAGATGGTGGTGGTGAACCAGTGGACACGCACACCATTGGTCCTCGTCTTACAGACAGCTAGACAAAGCACGAAACCTGGCAGGATGTCTTGTCAGTGTTAGCCCAAAACTCAACCTCACTTATAACTAATCTGAGCCTCCAAGGCATTGACCTTTTTCTCTCACCCCCCCCCCCCCCCCCACAACCTACCCACCCCCTTTTTTCTTCTCCCTCCCTCGTACACGTCTCCAGTGCCCTAAAGTTGGGCGGACTTCATCCCTAAACTGGCATGTCTCCACAGTCCAAGGCAAAGGGAATTCGGCTAAGTGAAGATTAAGTTATGACTGGACAAGTGGGTGGGTGGGTGGGGAGAGAGAGAGAGAGAGAGAGAGAGAGAGAGAGAGAGAGAGAGTTTTGACACCCTAAGGCAGCGAGTGTGGGGCTAAGTAAAGAGTAAGTTATACGAGAGAGAGAGAGAGAGAGAGAGAGAGAGAGAGAGAGAGAGAGAGAGAGAGAGAGAGAGAGAGTGCTGCTGAGTGGCCCAAAACCTACGGTAAGCTATGTCTAACTTGAATGAGCATCACAAGTAAATAAATGTATACTTTTTTATTTTAATTAAACAAATGATTTGAATAAATGCTATAAAGAATGGGCTAGCATCAGCCCCACTGGCCTTACATCCACTTTGGGCCTAAAAATCAAATTGTCTGCGTATTAGAGCCCCTACTGGTTATGGGACGAAACTGTCTGTGCATCAGAGCCCCCACTGCAACTTCCCAAAAGGCCTTTAATCCCTTGGTCGTGTGTTAAGTCATAGCACCAGAGCACCACTAACACTGACGGGGGCGTGTTCTTTAAAAAAAAAAAAAAAAAAAAAAAAAAAGTCAGAGCGCCACCGCTGCTGCAAGCAGTGGACGTTACGAAACCACCAAACTCACGACAGAACGGGAGGGGAGAAAAAACTCAATTTCCCTTCGTCAGAGTTTTTGAAGGTGATGTTAAATTTGGAATATTTTGCTTGCCCGGAGGCTTTTTTTGTGGTCACGTTTGACCCTTCCAGGTGCTTGGGTTCCTTGATTGAAGGGTTTTTTTTTTTTAATTACACTATGGTCTTTTCTCAAATTGTTTTTGTCTTTCACTACCTTTCCTGCCCCTACTCCTAAAGACTTCATAGAGGGGACCCCTGCAAGCATAGGGCCTCGCAAACGAGGTAATTCGTCATGTTGCCCCACGCCCCAACAGCGGTAGTCAGAGATGGGGTGGGGCCACCGGTGGGGGTCTGGCTAATGCAAAGACCACCGGGTCTGGCTAGTGCAAAGACCCCCACCGGCTAATGCAAAGACCGAGCATTTTGTCAGTAGTAGCGCCTCCGTTTCTCATCGTCCCCCACTCCTCATCCAGTAGCATGCATTAACACTACGGTTTCTTTTTTCTTTTTCTTTTTTTTTTTTAATGGTTCCTTGATTGAAGGCAATATGCATTTACACTAAATAATTGTTATTATTATTAATTGTTATTATTACTATTATAATTAATAATAATAATAATAATAATAATAATAATAATAATAATATAATAATTATTATTATCATTATTATTTTTAATGGTTCCTTGATTGAAGGCGATATGCACTAAACCACCACTACCAAGCTGTAGTCCCATTTGGGAAAATGACCTCGTGCAAAAAGTTCGGGGGTCCGGCGTAGAGTCGGTAGGAGAGCAATAAATTTGAAAACAAATAAAAAAATTGGCACCCTGCAAGGTGGAAGTCACACCAGTGCTTTGAGGAATGTATCTGGCCAGCGACTTTGTGGAAGGGAAAGGCCCTCATGAGGTGGAAGTCACACCAGTGGTCTGAGGAATGTATCTGGCCAGCATATGGGGAAGGTGATTGCTTATGTTGTAAGTCACACCAGTGCTCTGAGGAATGTATCTGGCCAGCATGTGGGGAAGGTGATTGCTTATCTTGTAAGTCACACCAGTGCTCTGAGGAATGTATCTGGCCAGCATGTGGGGAAGGTGATTGCTTATGTTGTAGTTTTTCTTTTCCTACTTTTGGTTTCTTGTTGATGCCCTTTCACTGGGGGCAGCCAACTGCCCCACTCACGTACTCACATCTCCACTGTGGCATTCTGTATTGGACCCCGATAGCGGCATATTTTTTTTTTTTGTCTTTCATTCGTTTTTCACAAGGACAGATGCCCTCACTGAGGGGGCCACAGTCTCACCAGCACCTGATAGAATGTATCTGATGGCTATCGCGGCGTGTGGGGAAGTTTTTTTTTTTTTTTTTTTTTTTTTTGTTCTTCTTCTTCATTTTCTCTTTTGTTCGTTCGATTTTTGGGATGTAACGGCCCTAAGTACCAGTCTAGAAATAAGAATGGGACTGTTCAACGGGATTGTATGCTTATTTCCATATGGGACGCTGGGCCCAGCTCCCAGCACGTGCTGCTCCTCACGAATAGATTGG